AGTAAGTTCTCCTGCTTACATAACAACTCCAGTACACTAAGTAATTCCATATCGGCGATTTCATTCGAGCTGGGAGGCCGATAGACAACACACAGGTTCAGTGTCGGTAATCGTTTGATGCATATCTTGCATGAAATTATTTCAAAATTTCGGGGCGCACCGTCGGATATTTCTCGTTGACAGCACGCAATTTCATTTGACACATAAATAGCTGTGCCTCCTCCTCTACGGGGAAATCTGTCACAACGGAACAGTTGGTAGCCTTCAATTCTGACTTCGCTACTACTAATTTCCTCAGTCAACCATGTCTCTGTTAGGACAATTATGTGTGGCTTCTGTTCAGAGACTAGTAATCTGAGTTCATCTAGCTTGTTGAGAAGACTCTGACAGTTAGTGTAATAGATTTCTAGACAGCGGCCACTGGTTCCAGCAGCCTCAGGAGTTGGCACCTTTGCATCGGTTAGGCTGTCAGAGAGAGAGCGGGGGATCGAGGGATGCAGTACCTTTGGTTGGCTGTCTGTATACGGCTTTGATCGCGGCGAAGAATTCTTCCATTCGTTGTGGTCCGCGTACCCTTGGATCTCCTCGGCCGTTCAGGCGTCCAGCTTCTCGTGCAGCCGCTGTTTTACAAGGCGACGAGTAGAGTAGAAAACTGTTCTGCTGTCGTCGGTGGGGCGGTCGACGTAGGCTTTGCGCAGGCGGTTCATATTGACGACCAGGTTATTGATAGCGGCGGCGTTGTCGTCGAACTAGTCTTGGTGTTGGCGGCGTGCGCGGCCGAGGACGGCCAGCGCCGTCGATTGGACTGTGTCCCACAGTTGACACCGTCGGTTCTCTACGGAGGCGTTTTCGTCAGCGGCGGTGGCGGCAGCGACTGGAAGGTTGTCAAGCCGTTGAGCTAACTCGTTGCTGAAATGGAGATGGGGAGAAAACAAACATAACAAGGCAGTATTAATCTTACCCGGGGACCGCTTACCTTGTGGTCTACTGCGAGGCTGTCAGCGAGTCCGCATTTTCGAGATGACGAGGCGATGGTCGGTTTACCCGCCAGCATCCGCAATCGACTTTGTCGCCGGCACTTTCTGCTGGTCTCGCCACCGGACAAGGACATAGTCCAGTATGTGCCAGTGCCGCGACCAAGGGTGCATCCAGGTGGTCTTCGCTCGCATCGGGAGGAGGAAGAAGGTGTTCGTCTGGATGAGTCGTGTTCAAAGCAGGTTCGTAGAAGAAGCAGGCCATTGTGGTTGGAGCCATTGAGACCATGGGGACCTAGCACCCCTCTGCAGGGATCCAGGGACAACCAACTTGTCCGACTTCAGCACAGATACCAGGAGGGCGCGCAGGTCCTCGTAGAATTTGCTCCTTGCGGCGTCAGGGCCGGCCATGGCGAAGCGTAGACGCTGACGATGGCGGCGAATTTGCCTCCCCGGAGAGGCAGACGGAGGCTCATCAGGTGATCGTTTATGCCCTGCGGAAAACAGATCAATCGTCCCACGATGTCGTTCCGGATGGCGAAGGCGACGCCCGCGTCTCGTCGCTGCCCTGGGGCGACCGCTCCAGAAGAAGGCGTAGCCGACACACACCTACTTCAATTAGTCTTGTTCGGAGAACTGAGTCTCGCCGAGTGCAGCGATTTCCATCTTGTAGCGCGCCAGTTCCCGAGCCACTAGCGCCGTCCTCCGTTCCGGTCGGCTGCTCCTCGGATTGTCTAAAAGCGGACGAACATTCCGGGCTGCCAGAGTGAGCGGACCAACCCTAGCAGCCTGGTGAGAGGGGCGGTGGGGAGAAGAATAAGCAGAAGGAGATGATGGTGGTGGTGGTGGAGGAGGAGGAGGAGGAGGAGGAGGAGGAAGAGGGAGTGTGTTGTTTCTTTGTTGGTTGTTTTGACCGTGATTTTGACGTCTGGGACCACGGTCAGCCTGAAGACGGCGTGCTTCCCAGTATTTAGTTAGGGCGCCTTTTCTAGCCCCTTCCTCCTCGGGGGTGAGCAGTGCCGCCCTAAATAAGGCGGCTCAGTTGTGTCACGCGTTGCCACACTCCACTACAGGACACGTCTTTGTTTGGTGGAAAAACAACCCGAGTTAGCCTGCGACGGCCTCGACATCGCCGTAAGCTTCTGATCCCCTACCGTGTACCAGACGGAGTCTCGTCTCGACGATGCCGATGCAAGGTTTTATCCGTCCAGCCGACCAGCGGAGTGCACAATACCGTGCGCGCAGATGCACACACGGATGCCCTCACTTCCTTTAGCCCGCCGGTCGAGGCGATTACCGGGGTGTGGCCACGGGGCAGATACCAGCTTCGGGGAGCCACAGGCGAGAGTTTGGCGCCAGTAAGTGGACGCTAGGCGTAGTCTACACCTGAAAGCAAGTGAGCGACCTACTACGGCCGTTACGCGAACCCACCGCTGGACACCCCTACTTAGGGGAGAGGTTCACTCTATTCTCTCTCTCCCTTGCAACAGTATGATAGGCTTGAGTCCATTTAATGTCTCGCATGCATCACTAAATGCCTCGGAAAATTCAAGGGAATCGAATACCAGCACATAAACTCCACGGCCGGTTCGACACACTGCGCAAACTGGTTGAGCGATCGAGAGGTAAAAACGTGTTTTCTTGCAGTAAATTATTCACAGGTGCGGAGAACAAGTGAGAGAGCTGGGTGTTATTGAAGTGTGGTAATATTTTGAAAACTTTTGTTTAGATGTTGAATTCAAGCGGTCCAAGGCAAATCAAGGCCCTGGATTAGGTATAATCTGCATTATAAAAACGAAAAAAATAAACCAACAAAAGTATTCGATGGCGTTTCATGAATGCGTTCTGTGTGGTGCACTGCAAACACACACTAGTCATGTTAAGCGTCTTAGGTTGTTTTATCCGTTTATAGGCGACCGATTTACACGGTTATCTCATGGTACTTCTCAATACACGCCGAACAAAGCCTATTTACATGTAGACCACCAGTGAGCATTCAAACGCCTAGGTTGCGAATGCAGACAAGTAGAGATTTCGTCGAAGAAACAACAGCATTTGGGGAAGCGTAAAGCCGTGAATGACTATGACTAAACATGTTCCTCCTAGGAACTGAGCGCTGGTTAAAAGCGCGTCTTTGTGGCCGATAAACAATTTATTCGAGGATAAAATGTCATCAAAAGTCACTCTTTCGAGTAATATACGGCCAGTTTTCTTGTGGATTTGAATCTTCCGAGACGGTATGTTCACACTGGCGTTGCGTTTATTGACTGTCAACTTTAAATGAATCATGCCCTTCGGCGCGCCACTTTTAATTGGGTTATAAGCGTGCGGAGATGGTAAACATCCCGAAGACCAGGAAGACTTTTTGCAAAAGTTCTAAATGCAAAAAGCACACCTTACACAAAGTTTCTCAGTATAAAGCTGGCAAGGCCAGTTTGTACGCCCAAGGGAAAAGGAGATATGACCGAAAACAGTCGGGTACGTCACCTTCATATCATTTACTTTGTTAAGG